GTAAATTACATGGCCTTCCAAATACTGTTTCGATTCCTAACATCACTGAAGAGACATTAATTGTCGAAATCCGGATATGGTGTACAAAAATCTTTGCACCTTTGTTTGCGGTATACCATCTTTGCCGCAAGTTTATTGTTTTCTGTTTGGTATTAACTTTTTAATTAAGATGCATTTAATACACCTTGTGATCCGTTTATTTGGCAATCGCCAATGGCAGTCAGCAGGGTTTAAGAACATTTGTTGTTCGACCCCTTAGTCAAATGCGTTTTGTTAAAATATACTTTTTCACTTTTTTGGTCTTTTGGAAAATGTTGTTTGTGCTGTATTTAGACCCCTCGAACAAGAAATTTGTTTTTGCATGCACACGTATAAAATTGCGGTTTTTATCCAACGCAATCATAGGTTTGAACGTTGTTTTCAATTTAGACTTGTTTATATTTTTCGTTTGGGCTTGTATTATATTTGCCTTCGGGTTTATATGATCCGTTCATCCTAATTTGACTCCTCAAAATTCGAGAGTCTATCCTAAATTGAGGTAAATTACATGGCCTTCCAAATACTCTTTCGATTCCTAACATCACTGAAGAGACATTAATTGTCGAAATCCGGATATGGTGTACAAAAATCTTTGCACCTTTGTTTGCGGTATACCATCTTTCCCGCAAGTTTATTGTTTTCTGTTTGGTATTAACTTTTTAATTAAGATCCATTTATTACACCTTGTGATCCGTTTATTTGGCAATCGCCAATTGCAGTCAGCAGGGTTTAAGAACATTTGTTGTTCGACCTGTTAGTCAAATGCGTTTTCTTAAAATATACTTTTTTACTTTTTCGGTCTTTTGGAAAATGTTGTTTGTGCTGTATTTAGACCCCTCTGACAAGAAATTTGTTTTTGCATGCACACGTATAAAAATTGCGGTTTTTATCCAACGCAATCATAGGTTTGAACGTTGTTTTCAATTTAGACTTCTTTATATTTTTTCGTTTGGGCTTGTATTATATTTGCCTTTGGGTTTATATGATCCGTTCATCCTAATTTGACTCCTCAAAATTCGAGAGTCTATCCTAAATTGAGGTAAATTACATGGCCTTCCAAATACTGTTTCGATTCCTAACATCACTGTAGAGACATTAATTGTCGAAATCCGGATATGGTGTACAAAAATCTTTGCACCTTTGTTTGCGGTATACCATCGTTGCCGCAAGTTTATTGTTTTCTGTTTGGTATTAACTTTTTAATTAAGATCCATTTATTACACCTTGTGATCCGTTTATTTGGCAATCGCCAATGGCAGTCAGCAGGGTTTAAGAACATTTGTTGTTCGACCTGTTAGTCAAATGCGTTTTGTTAAAATATACTTTTTCACTTTTTTGGTCTTTTGGAAAATGTTGTTTGTGCTGTATTTAGACCCCTCTAACAAGAAATTTGTTTTTGCATGCACACGTATAAAAATTGCGGTTTTTATCCAACGCAATCATAGGTTTGAACGTTGTTTTCAATTTAGACTTGTTTATATTTTTTCGTTTGGGCTTGTATTATATTTGCCTTCGGGTGTATATGATCCGTTCATCCTAATTTGACTCCTCAAAATTCGAGAGTCTATCCTAAATTGAGGTAAATTACATGGCCTTCCAAATACTCTCTCGATTCCTAACATCACTGAAGAGACATTAATTGTCGAAATCCGGATATGGTGTACAAAAATCTTTGCACCTTTGTTTGCGGTATACAATCTTTGCCACAAGTTTATTGTTTTCTGTTTGGTATTAACTTTTTAATTAAGATCCATTTATTACACCTTGTGATCCGTTTATTTGGCAATCGCCAATGGCAGTCAGTAGGGTTTAAGAACATTTGTTGTTCGACCTGTTAGTCAAATGCGTTTTGTTAAAATATACTTTTTCACTGTTTTGGTCTTTTGGAAAATGTTGTTTGTGCTGTATTTAGACCCCTCTAACAAGAAATTTGTTTTTGCATGCACACGTATAAAATTGCGGTTTTTATTCAACGCAATCATAGGTTTGAACGTTGTTTTCAATTTAGACTTGTTTATATTTTTTCGTTTGGGCTTGTATTATATTTGCCTTCGGGTTTATATGATCCGTTCATCCTAATTTGACTCCTCAAAATTCGAGAGTCTATCCTAAATTGAGGTAAATTACATGGCCTTCCAAATACTGTTTCGATTCCTAACATCACTGAAGAGACATTAATTGTCGAAATCCGGATATGGTGTACAAAAATCTTTGCACCTTTGTTTGCGGTATACCATCTTTCCCGCAAGTTTATTGTTTTCTGTTTGGTATTAACTTTTTAATTAAGATCCATTTATTACACCTTGTGATCCGTTTATTTGGCAATCGCCAATAGCAGTCAGCAGGGTTTAAGAACATTTGTTGTTCGACCTGTTAGTCAAATGCGTTTTGTTAAAATATATTTTTTCACTTTTTTGGTCTTTTGGAAAATGTTGTTTGTGCTGTATTTAGACCCCTCTAACAAGAAATTTGTTTTTGCATGCACACGTATAAAAATTGCGGTTTTATCCAATGCAATCATAGGTTTGAACGTTGTTTTCAATTTAGACTTGTTTAAATTTTTTCGTTTGGGCTTGTATTATATTTGCCTTCGGGTGTATATGATCCGTTCATCCTAATTTGACTCCTCAAAATTCGAGAGTCTATCCTAAATTGAGGTAAATTACATGGCCTTCCAAATACTCTTTCGATTCCTAACATCACTGAAGAGACATGAATTGTCGAAATCCGGATATGGTGTACAAAAATCTTTGCACCTTTGTTTGCGGTATACCATCTTTGCCGCAAGTTTATTGTTTTCTGTTTGGTATTAACTTTTTAATTAAGATCCATTTATTACACCTTGTGATCCGTTTATTTGGCAATCGCCAATGGCAGTCAGTAGGGTTTAAGAACATTTGTTGTTCGACCTGTTAGTCAAATGCGTTTTGTTAAAATATACTTTTTCACTGTTTTGGTCTTTTGGAAAATGTTGTTTGTGCTGTATTCAGACCCCTCTAACAAGAAATTTGTTTTTGCATGCACACGTATAAAATTGCGGTTTTTATTCAACGCAATCATAGGTTTGAACGTTGTTTTCAATTTAGACTTGTTTATATTTTTTCGTTTGGGCTTGTATTATATTTGCCTTCGGGTTTATATGATCCGTTCATCCTAATTTGACTCCTCAAAATTCGAGAGTCTATCCTAAATTGAGGTAAATTACATGGCCTTCCAAATACTGTTTCGATTCCTAACATCACTGAAGAGACATTAATTGTCGAAATCCGGATATGGTGTACAAAAATCTTTGCACCTTTGTTTGCGGTATACCATCTTTCCCGCAAGTTTATTGTTTTCTGTTTGGTATTAACTTTTTAATTAAGATCCATTTATTACACCTTGTGATCCGTTTATTTTGCAATCGCCAATAGCAGTCAGCAGGGTTTAAGAACATTTGTTGTTCGACCTGTTAGTCAAATGCGTTTTGTTAAAATATATTTTTTCACTTTTTTGGTCTTTTGGAAAATGTTGTTTGTGCTGTATTTAGACCCCTCTAACAAGAAATTTGTTTTTGCATGCACACGTATAAAAATTGCGGTTTTATCCAATGCAATCATAGGTTTGAACGTTGTTTTCAATTTAGACTTGTTTAAATTTTTTCGTTTGGGCTTGTATTATATTTGCCTTCGGGTGTATATGATCCGTTCATCCTAATTTGACTCCTCAAAATTCGAGAGTCTATCCTAAATTGATGTAAATTACATGGCCTTCCAAATACTCTTTCGATTCCTAACATCACTGAAGAGACATGAATTGTCGAAATCCGGATATGGTGTACAAAAATCTTTGCACCTTTGTTTGCGGTATACCATCTTTGCCGCAAGTTTATTGTTTTCTGTTTGGTATTAACTTTTTAATTAAGATCCATTTATTACACCTTGTGATCCGTTTATTTGGCAATCGCCAATGGCAGTCAGCAGGGTTTAAGAACATTTGTTGTTCGACCTGTTAGTCAAATGCGTTTTGTTAAAATTTACTTTTTCACTTTTTTGGTCTTTGGGAAAATGTTGTTTGTGCTGTATTCAGACCCCTCTAACAAGAAATTTGTTTTTGCATGCACACGTATAAAAATTGCGGTTTTATCCAATGCAATCATAGGTTTGAACGTTGTTTTCAATTTAGACTTGTTTAAATTTTTTCGTTTGGGCTTGTATTATATTTGCCTTCGGGTGTATATGATCCGTTCATCCTAATTTGACTCCTCAAAATTCGAGAGTCTATCCTAAATTGAGGTAAATTACATGGCCTTCCAAATACTGTTTCGATTCCTAACATCACTGAAGAGACATTAATTGTCGAAATCCGGATATGGTGTACAAAAATCTTTGCACCTTTGTTTGCGGTATAGAATCTTTGCCGCATGTTTATTGTTTTTCTGTTTGGTATTAACTTTTTAATTAAGATCCATTTATTACACCTTGTGATCCGTTTATTTGGCAATCGCCAATGGCAGTCAGCAGGGTTTAAGAACATTTGTTGTTTGACCTGTTAGTCAAATGCGTTTTGTTAAAATATACTTTTTCACTTTTTTGGTCTTTTGGAAAATGTTGTTTGTGCTGTATTTAGACCCCTCTAACAAGAAATTTGTTTTTGCATGCACACGTATAAAATTGCGGTTTTTATCCAACGCAATCATAGGTTTGAACGTTGTTTTCAATTTAGACTTGTTTATATATATATATATTTTCATAATTTATTTAATTATATAGATATTGTTTTTTTCTTCAAATATAACTATTGAAACTATTGTAAGTCACACTTGTATTGTGTACATATAATACATAAATAACTTGCAAATTTTAAAAATATGCATTTCTTCACTTGTTTCAATCTAGAACTTTTGATATTAAAATCGTCATTTAAAATGATTTGCCCTTTGAGCAAGATATAAAACTATAATGTTTTATTACCATTTGTAGACTGCAAAGAACCACCACAGTTGCGGAATACGGGATCGATGCATGATAAAAATAGGAATTATTCAACATGGTCAACGTATAATTATGACTGTGTTACGGGCTCTGCTATGAAAGGCAATGGTACGATTGTCTGTCAGGATAATGGCGAATGGAGTGATCCTCTGTTTGAATGCAGTGAGTAAACTCTTAAAAAGTGTGAAACGTATGTCAAGAAGAAAGTAGTATATCTGTTTATGACCGAACGTCGAAGGCTACCAGTTGTATCTCCTTAAACCCTGTATGGACATTCTTTAATGATAGCACTGTCGAATACAGATGAGGCGTTACTAGTGACGAAGTAAAATGAAACAAAAGTCATTCCATGGTCCTTTGAAATCACGAGGTTGGAAAACTCATACTCAATTTGTTTTCTGCATGATAACACATACAAGAATCAGTCAAAAACAGGAAAAATATAGAAAAGTAAAAAATAAAAATAATTCGTGTTCTTCAGTATACTTAAGATAAGGACGATGGCTGTACAGGGTGAAAGTGCAACTTTAACCGTTCCTTAAAGAAAAGAAAGCAAAAACAATTTCAAATGAAACACAACCTTGTTAGAACAAGCAAAACATTTGCAAATACACAATGTTTTAATATAGGCAAATTTTTCTTAATCAGTAATTATTAAATTCCAGTTTGCCCTCAACCACCAAGGAAACTAAATACCCATTATACTACCTCTGATCAAGATGCCGAATATCGCCATGGAGACGCCTATCGGTATGAATGTATGACAGGATATTCAATGACCGGAAATAGCACAATCACATGTTTACGAAACGGTCAGTGGTCAGACCCTTCATTCACTTGTTCAGGTAAAAATAACATCGTTTAAGGAAAGAAACTTAAGAATTGTGTAAGGAATATAAAGCCAAGTATCCAAATTTTATTATTGGTCCCGAAAGTACCACATTTATACTTACAATATGATGTATCCAGCGAAAAACGTATTACATATTTCTATATTTTTAAAGAGTATACGAAATTCTTGTAAAGATATGCGACACTGAAAATGCAATCTTTACCTACCTCAACTGAAACATAGCTATACTAACTAAACCAACAATATTATCAAGCATGAATAACTACACAACTAGTGTACACCACTGATTGTAATTGGAAGCAAGTGTGTACTATATTTGAAGCATTTTAAATCACCTCGAGTCTAGATAAAATGTATAGATATAGTCCAAGAGGACTATTAAACACCCAAGCGGTAAAACACATTTAGATATATATGCAAAGATAATTATCACAGTAATGAAATATGAATAATTACAACTATTGTTTTTTAATATTCAAGCTTCTCCCTTATTTGCTATGATTCTGGGGGCATTTTGTTGTATCTTGAGGGATTGATTGATTTGTAATTTTATAAACGAGATTTACGTAAAACAGATTTTACATTTTAAATGTGCTTTCGTTAAGATTGTAAATGTCCATGCAAGTCGCCTGATTTGACAGAGGAAGACATTCAAGAAATGAAGGACAAAATACGAAGAGAGAACCTTATAGACAAAAAGAGCGTCTCGAAATATAGGCGAAAGATAACAAGTGCCCCCGACAATAGATTCTCGGCAAAAGCAATTGGATACGTTGGAGTGGCTTGTTTGACAACTACAGGATTGGTGGTAGTCCTCATTGATGCTGTAAGCCTTGTGAATACTGTGAGCACAGTGTTTCAGAACATCAAAGGATTGTTTATATGACATTTGTAAACTCTTATCATTTACATTTTTTGTTTGTTGACTCCAAACATGGTTACTTCATTTAGGTGGGCATTGATGCGGTATTGTACAAGTTGTAATTACTTTTGATTAGAAGAACTAGAAGTGTTCACAGTTAATGGTTATTTGTTATAGTAAATATATATTGTTTTGGATATTACCTTTAATGTTGTAATGAACCCCATAGACATTGTTTGTGTTAAAACGAAAGGCAAGTATTGACATGTAAATTTTACAACTTCTTGTTGTAGCAGTGCAATTTAAAATGTTCTGTGTGTGATAGTTTTTGTATTAAGGCAAAAGTGTTATTTTTCTCTTTGTTGCTTAAATTTACATCATTGTGTCTCTATTGGATAGTTGTCACATTGGAATTCATACCACATCTTCTATTTTTTTAAAGAATCGAAAATATATACTGTATAATACAGTAAATTTAGAGAAAATAATTGTAGCAATTATATTGTATCAATGATATATCAAGAAATGCTGATAACTGGGCTGGTAATAACCTCAAAGAACAAATAAATATGTTTGTCTATCTGATTATTCTGACTCTGTCAATCGAACTGTACAGAGTAATTTCGAAAGCTAAGACGTTTTGCACCTATAACACATTTTTCGCATTTGAGTACGTTTCGTATACCGTATGTTATTGGAGTAACACGACGGGTGTCACATGTGGTGTTGGATCTGCTAATCCTTCGGAGCACCTGGTCATCCTTTGATTTTGGTGGGGTTTATGTGGACTAGGTTTTATTTTTTTATGTTGTGTATTTTAGACTGATGTTTGTCTTTTGGCAGTTTTTTTCGTGTTTTGCCATGGCTTTTGTCAATTTTTATTGACGTATAAGTTTAAATATTCTTTTGTTATCTTCCTTCTCTCTTTTTCAAAAAGATATAAAAAATACGTGCAGATTTGTTTAGAGATAAATGGCCTTTGTATCTATGACTTTAAGCAATGACAATGATCAGCAGTACTTTTATAAGTAAACATGGTGTAAATAATTGAAAGGGATAATCAAAATCATATTTTTGTCAATATCTCACAAACGCTGAATGCTGCGAGAAAATTCGTGATAAGGCTATGTTCACAACCTATCACTTTTAAAAATACTTATTTAGTAGATGTATTTGAAATACTCTTAACATTAAAATGCTGTTTATCTTTGAATTTGATAAATAACAAACCCGACATATACAGATAGGATTTTATTAAGATTTAAACTAGATCCGATATTTCAACTGTCAAGTATACACAAGTTTACATTGAAGTACATCTTTGACCAACATCAATTGATTTGTATCTGAAAGACAAGACATACTTGCCTTGCTTTCAACAAATGTTTTTCTGTAGGGTAAGATTTACCTTCTGATTCGTTTTTGCGACGATTACTAAACATTTGATAAATTTGGTAAAATAATAAAACAATGTGGGGAAACTCAAAAAGCACATACCCACGTTTTATTCTTAATTTTTACCTCTTTTTAGGTCGCACACAAGGACAAAGACGCAAAGGTGTTTTGTTTTCAAAAACAGACTGTCTAAATAATCGGCAAGTTCTTAAAATCGTTTCTTGATCAACTTTCACCAGGAATTTTAGTATTAAATTTTTCCAGTGTCAAAGATGTATATATATGTTGGGAGCAAAACAAACAAAAATATGTAGGGAATTGTCCTAAAAAGGAAATATATGTCACTCATACAACAGTAAAGTGGTTTGAAAAGAATGATTTACATGAAAACATATTTCCTTAAATGACAAAAATATTAAGATTTAACAAAGGACAAGCATTTGTGATGTTTCTGACAATTTTCTAATATACAACTGTACGTTAAGTATAACTTTTTGAACTGAAAACTATAGTAGGCATCACACATGTTAGACTGATACTTTAATTACAACCTAATCGGCGCCTTTGTCGAATTTGTGCTGTTCCCAGTGCGGAATTTTGATTTTGTCATAGGTATACACAGAAAATAGCTAAAATCTTAACAGTGTGCAGTGTTATAGTTTGTATATACATTAATACTGTAATATCTGTCTGACATGTTATCATGATTTCAAATTGAGTAATTATTAATCAAGTTTATTTGATTTTACTTTTGTCACTGTCTGAGTTAATCATATCATGTATAATTCTCGTTCACCTTCAATTTCAGGATAATAGCAGCTTGTATTCATTGTCTTCTGTTAGTAAAAAAATAGTTGAATCTAAAAATAAATTAATGAAAGTACATGTAGATATACGTTAGTGAGACGTCAACCGAAACAGCACAATCAACTGCGATAATTCCTATAGAAAATAACAATACAAAAGTTTGAATGTCTGTATATCAATCTGTTCAAAGCCCAGAAATGTTGCATGTAAACTAGATTGAGCTCTCACAAACATGTCAAATCCACCACATTTAATATGTGACTGTCCCAAGTAAGAAGCCTGCTATTCAGTGGTTGTCGTTGGTTGAGGTCTGTAATTGTTTGTCGTTTATTGTTTTGTCATAAATCAGGCCGTTGTGATTTTCGTTTTCAACAATATTTCATGTCGGTGCCTTTTAAAGCTGACTATACAGTATGGGTTTTGCTAATTGTTGAAGGCCGTACGGTGAACCATACTTGCCTAAATCAGCTTAATTTTGGACTGTTGAATGGTTGTATAATTGGCAAATATTCCACACCATATTTTATATAGCTACCCAAAAAAATTATAGAACATGATAGCTCATAGTATTGCTGTACTACCAACTTATTCATTATTGGGATGAATACATTAAAAAACATAAGATAACAACACACCTGCAATTTTATAAAGTAACAAAGTTCAGTTTTGTCAATGGATTGTTTTTATGGATCAAAGATGACGTTCTCCAATACCTAACACGAACGTTGTATATCATTTTATTTATAGTAGGAATCATACTTAATAGAGTATTGAGATTCATTAAAACCCGACACAAACTAGAACTTGCTCAAATTAATCATTTCGGATTTTGAATCTGTTTGTTTAAACCTTTAATTCTGTTACAATAACAGTCTGTATGGCGAAATAGGTAAAACAAATAAATCATATATAATCCATGGGTTGTATTCACCAAAGTTACCCTGGTAACGTTTTTGATTTTAATTCTTATGGTTATTGTCAGAGTTCTCATGATAACAAACCCAGACTTTTATGATAAGTTGCTTATGAAATTAAGATCTCGATATGCGATTTTGGCATCTTTATTTAAAAGAGAGGCGAAAGATACAAAAGTGATATTTGAACTTATACTTCGATAACAAACTGACTACTGAATTCAAAATAAACATTTGACATAGTAAAAGTAGCAAAAGGATGGTTAGCTCGTGTCCAAAGAAATGCAAGAAGTGTTGTTATACATCATAATATCTGAATTGCAAATTGTGT